ATGAGAGAGTGAGTGGAAATTGTAGAGGTACTGGCTATAATTTTTCAGTCTTCCTTAAGACTCGGGGATGGTACCATAGCACTAGAGAATTGCAAAAGTTACACCCTTGTTGTGAAAAAGATATAGAGATAAACACAGCATGACACATTAGCGAGTTTAATCTTGCAGGTGGAAAACATTCTGGAAATAATTAAAACATTAAAATTTAATGGAGAGAAGTGACTCATTTTAGTAGAAAAACACCATAGAGGACAAAGGATGAAATTCTAAAGAAAATGCAAGAGCATAGGGACAGGAGTGGTTTGTATATGGGCATAAATTATCAAGCTGGCAGGGCAGTTTTGTAAAGTGGTCAATGGAACATTTAACATCCTAGATTTTCGTAATAGGGATGGTGAGTATAAAGGCAAGGAAGTTATGTTGAAATGGTATAAAACACTGATTTGGTTTCAAGTGGAGTCTTGTGCCCTGTTCTGGACACTACACTTTGGAAAGGCATCGGAGAAAATGGAGAACAAATTTATAAGAATGGTCCCAGAGATGAGGAATATCAGTTATGATGACAGATTGGAGAATTAGCATTTTTTTCCTTGGAGAATAGAAGATTTAGAGTTGTTCTGATAAAAATGCTTGAAATCTTGACGGGTCTGAACAGAGTAGACAGGCATACACTGTTCCCATTGATGGAAGGAGCAGAAACAACAGCAGGCACAGATTTAAGGGAATTGGTGAAAGAAGGAACAGTGACATGAGGGGAAACTTTATCATGTAAGTAATGCACTGTAACGATCTGGAATGCACCGAATGACAGTTCGGGTGGAGGAAGTTCAAAAGGGAATTGGATTGTTATCGCGAAGACTGTGCAGGGTTACAGGGAGAAGACTGGGGAATGACACAATAATAGTTGCTCAGTTGGAGAGCCAGCATGGATGCAATGTGCCGTATTGTCTTTCTGGTGCTGTAACCGTTCTTGTTTTTGTGATCCTATTTCTCTTTTTATCTGGAATCTTACACATGAAGAATATGCGGTTGGGGCATATACCAACACAGAACCACAACCAGTACAAGTAATTATATTCACCAGAGGAACTATAAAGAACCATTAAATGATAATTATGTCATGTACTTGACCAAAATATTCCATATTTTAAGGCTATGACCTGTCCTAGTACGATAATTTTATCTTTCTACTATCTTGGCACATCCCAATGTCCAGTGGTAATATTCCTATCCCTGGGCCAGATGCTTTGGTTTTGAGTCCTGCAAAGGATTTGTTGGTCATGGGAAAGTACATTTATAACATGACCAAACAGGTTGACTTGCTGCCTGTAAATCTTTCAAATTCACTTGAAAGCATGCCGTGAGATAGAGATGGCAAACAATTGCAATATCCTTGCCCATAGTGTGGGCCAATTTAATGGAAACCAATGGCTCAACCCTTGGGAACAAGGATGGCAGCAAAGACAGATCACTTTGATATTAAGTTCTCATGCCTCAAAGTCCCAATAAGACTGGAATCAATACGTTTGGCTCAGAAAGCCTCATCCTTGTTCAATTGCACTGCACTAGATGGCAGTCTGATCTATAAAGAGAAGACTCACTGGTATAAAGCAGTTTTATACTGCTTGTGGCTTGTTAATTTTCTTCTTAGTAGGGAGGAGCAACAAGCCACAAACATAACAAGACTAATTAAGGTGAAAGGGAGAGAATGGGTCCTCCCTACTAAGAACAAAATTAACAAGACACAAACATGACAAGGCTATGGGGGGGAGAGGATGCAGAAGACATAAGAACAATGGGGAACAATGCAGTCAGTTTCAGAAGTTATTGAACTCCATTTTGAGACCTGAGGCTGTAGAATTACCTAAATGAGGTGCTGAAATGCAGGAGATGAGTTAGACATGGCTGAAAACCCTGCTGACCACAATGTGTTATCATTTTTTGTTCTGTTGAATTATTATCCTGAAAAGGCACACTGACAGACATTTAAATTGATTATTAAGTTTCTGAAATATTGAGATCTTTCTGAATCTTTCAAACTTGTAGTTGTCTTTGGAAGCACAGGGTCTGAAGCAGGAAATGTAAGAATAGTGAATTAAATGTCAAATTAGGTTCAGAGAGCAAAGTAAAGAGCAGGAAAGGAATTCAGAGACAGTGAAATAAAAGAAGCAGAAAGAAAGGATAAATAAATTGTTTAATATAAAAAAAACTCATTAGCAATAATTAAAAGATGAATGAATGGGACTCCACAGTCATAACAGTTAATTTTCAGTGCTTACATGGTAGTTTATCCACTAGATGGATTTGCCGAACTGTTGAAGGGGCACTTAGAGTCATAGAGTTTTACAGCACAGAAACAGACCCTTCGCTCCAACTCATCCATGCCAACCAGATATCCTAACTTAATCTAGTCCCATTTGCCAGCATTTGGCCCATTTCCCTCTAAACTCTTCCTATTCATATACCCAGCCAGATGCCTTTTGAATGTTGTAATTGTACCAGCCTCCACCACTTCCTCTGACAACTCATTCCATACAGGCACCATCCTCTGCGTGAAAAAGTTGCCCCTTAGGTCCCTTTTAAATCTTTCCCCTCTCACCGTGAATCTATGCCCTCTCGTTTTGGATTCCCCTACCCTGGGGAAAACGCCTTGGCTACTCACTCTATCCATGCCCCTCATGATGTTATAAACCTCAATCAGGTCATCCCTCAGCCTCCAATGCTTCAGGGAAGAATGCCCCAGCCTATTCAGGCAGTCCCGATAGCTCAAACCCTCCAACCCTGGCAGCATCCTTGTAAATTCTTTCTGCACCCTTTCAAGTTTCATAACATCTTAAACTGGAATAGACCATATCTGCTATTTATATGCATAAACCACTCAGCATTTAATATAATAAATTTAACAAGACCTTGACAAAGGTAAATAATCCCTCTTCACCTTTCACATTCTGTGTGCAGCCTTTCACAAGATTGACCATACCATCCTCTTCCAATATTAGGACGAAAGGTGATTAATCTGAAATGTTAACTCTATTTCCCTCTCTACAGATGCTGTCCAGGTCCTGCCCTTTTTGTTTTATGACAGTTCTAAGACTCATTGTCGTTTCCATGTCACTGTAAGGGTGTATCAGATTTATGTCAGTACCCAGAGCATGCTCAAACTCTAAGGTGTTATGAGGAATTATCAATAAAATTCCTGATACATTTTGTTTGCATTGGTCTCTACTGATCTCAGCACAATGCTCAAGATTTAAAAATTCAGAGAAGTGACAGGATTCCTTCAGTATCTCACCCATTTACAAAATCCCATTCTTGCTGCTTTTGTTTGTTGGTCCTTGTAGCATCTGCACTTTGAGTTTTCATGAGGTACATCTCTGATCAACTCAGCCATAAAGCTGTACTGCCAAAAAACACAGGTAAATTTTACGATTGTAGTCTGAGACAGATCAGTGCAAAGAGCTTTTGTTTTTTCAGTTGGAAGAAAACTAATGCATAATAACTTTCCTATGGTATGAACTTTGTTTAATTTCATGTAGTTTACGTTCTTTAGCTATAGTTTAGCTACTCAGATGTTCATTGGTAAAAGAGAAAAGACTGCTCAAGCATCGATTGATGGCTAAACACATTGTTTTGCTTATTTTGCTGGCAATATATGTCTGAAAACTGAGTCGACCAGCCCTTCAGCTTATCTTCAATTTAGCCACAAAATGTGATTACTTAACCAATTTTGTTAACTAATGTGTGGAGATATGGATTATGAATGAAAACTGCATTCCAAACTGCTTGCCATATTTGTAAGTTTGAACAGCAGCTATATCTTCTCTTGCTTTAGGGGAGGCAGTGGCCAAATGGCATTATTGCTAGGGTATTAATCCAGAAACTCAACTAATGTTCTGAGCTCCCAGGTTCAAATCCTTTCACAGCAGATGGTGAAATTTGATTTTGTTTTAAGAATCTGCTGATGACAATAGAACACTTGCAGGTTGTTGGGAAAACCTACCTGTCTCAACTGCTCTCTGAAATGGCCTAGCGAGCCACTCAGCTCAAGGGCAACCTTGAATGGGCAATAAATGTTAGCCAGCCAGCAATGCCCACATCCCACGAGTGAATAAAAAAAAATTTGAAGCATCCCACGTCAATCAGCAAGGATGGAAACTTGATCGATTAAATACTGACCTTCTGGTATAAGTACAACCTGGAATGATGCACTGATAGCCTTCTTTTTCTGTTGGCTGGAAGAATTCTATGCAGACTTTATCTGGGCAATCTGAAATCAGCTTACGGACATGCAGTGTCTTTCACATCAAATTTGGTTCTAATTGTCAATCTTCTACAGATAGGACAATTGGTGTGGGAAGTGGAAAGAGATGGTGTATTAAGAGGAGCTCTGCTGAGCCTAAAGCTAAGGCACATTGCTGAGGCATATCATCACCCCACCCACCTTCCCCAGCCTCACCCCTCCTTTCTCTATTTATTTCCCAGCTCCCTTCCCCCTCCCCATTTTTGAAGAAGGGTCCTGACCTGAAATGTCAACTTTCCTGCTCCTCTGATGATGCCTGGCCTGCTGTGTTCCTCTAGCTCCACACTGTATTGTCTCCGACTCCAGCATCTCCAGTTCTTGCTATCTCTATATCTCACATGGATGTGCTTGGTCTCACACTGGATGTCCAAATGTGTAACCCTTAACCTTATTTTGTATGTTTTACGCTATATTATAGTTACTGCAATGTTTAACTTTTAACTTTGTTCTTTCTTCCCACCTTGTTCTTAAGTATCTGTACCTAGGTACTTGTACCTAAGATACTGCCGTGTGTGGCAACATTATACACTCTTCACTGTACTCCTGTACTTTTGTACTTGAGTACACATGACAATAAAATCTAAATCAAAAATGGGTAGTCCTCCAGTCCCGATGACTAAGATTTTTCAGCAAGCACAAAAAGAAATTAAAAGATCTGTTCCATTTTTAATTATTAGCCTATTGTTTTCTTTTTTGCTAGGGGCATTCATGATCCCGTTTCTCATCCTACTGGTTCTTGAGGGTGTTCCTCTGTTGCATCTGGAATTTGCCATTGGACAGCGGCTACGCAGAGGCAGTGTGGGTGTCTGGAGTTCCATTCACCCATACTTGAAAGGAATGGGTAAGTTACCAGAGTTACAATTGCAAACAAAGTGGTCAGTATATCCAGGTTTACTGATCATTACTGAGTTAGATAGGACAGTCAGCTGTGAGTGAGGCTTAAAGAGGCTGCAAAGGGAAATAAGGAGGTTCAGTGGATGGAATACAATATGGTGACATGTTAAATGATCCACTTTGGCAAGTGAAATAATTTAAAAAAATAAAAATATATTTCACGAAGTGAGTGTTGGCATTCAAAAGGATTTGGATGGCCTTGTCCACAGATTACAGAAAGTTAACATGTAGGTGCAGCAAGCAATTAGGGACACGTGATTAATTAGCTTTTATTAGGAAATTATTGGAGTATAAGTTGAAAAGGTCTTACTGAAATTGTGAGACAACAAGGTGCAGGGCTGGATGAACACAGCAGGCCAAGC